AAAAAACAAGGACACGCACCAGCACGGGACGCGCCAATAGTGGAAGCACTCGTCCGTGCTGTTGGCGAGTGGAAGTTAACCGATCTCAACGCAACGAAACACGAAGTCATACATGTATCAGCACGGGATGCGCCAATGAGTGGAAGCACCCGCGCTGTTGGCGAGTAGAGTTAACCGAATTCAATGCAGCGGTAGAAAAATACCACAAATCATGCATCAGTACGGGACGCGCCAATGAGTGGAAGCACCCGTGGTGCATATGTGATGTCAGCCTCAGCACGGGACGCGCCAATGAGTGGAAGCACTCGTGCTGTTGGTGAGTAGAGTTAACCGATCTCAAAAAGAAAGAACAAAACGCCGTACATGTATCAGCACGGGACGCGCCAATGAGTGGAAGCACCCGCGCTGTTGGCGAGTAGAATTAACCGAATTCAACGCAGCGGTAGGAAATACCACAAATCATGCATCAGTACGGGACGCGCCAATGAGTAGAAGCACCCGTGCTGCATATGTGTTGTCAGCCTCAGCACGGGACGCGCCAACGAGTGGAAGCACTCGTGCTGTTGGCGAGTAGAGTTAACCGATCTCAAAAAGAAAGAACAAAACGCCGTACACGTATCAGCACGGGACGCGCCAATGAGTGGACGCACCCGTGCTGTTGGCGAGTAGAGTTAACCGAATTCAACGCATCGAAAACGAAGTCGTACACGTATCAGTACGGGACGCGCCAATGAGTGCTGTTGGCGAGTAGAGTTAACCGATCTCAAAAAGAAAGAACAAAACGCCGTACACGTATCAGCACGGGACGCGCCAATGAGTGGACGCACCCGTGCTGTTGGCGAGTAGAATTAACCGATCTCCACGCATCGAAAACGAAGTCGTACACGTATCAGTACGGGACGCGTCAATGAGTGGAAGCACCCGTGCTGCATATGTGTTGTCAGTTTCAGCAAGGGACGCGCCAATGAGTGCTGTTGGCGAGTAGAGTTAACCGATCTCAAAAAGAAAGAACAAAAACGCCGTACACGTATCAGTACGGGACGCGCCAATGAGTGGACGCACCCGTGCTGTTGGCGAGTAGAATTAACCGATCTCCACGCATCGAAAACGAAGTCATACACGTATCAGTACGGGACGCGTCAATGAGTGGAAGCACCCGTGCTCATATGTGTTGTCAGTTTCAGCAAGGGACGCGCCAATGAGTGGAAGCACCCGCGCTGCGTACAAGTATCAGTACGGGTCGCGCCAATGAGTGGAAGCACCCGTGCTGCATATGTGCTGTCAGTTTCAGCGAGGGACGCGCCAATGAGTGGAAGCACCCGCGCTGTTGGCAAGTGGAGTTCACCGTATCCAACGCATCGAAAAAAATAGAAAAACACGTATCAGCACGGGACGCGCCAATGAGTGGAAGCACCCGTGCCGATGGCGAACCGGGGTTCACCGAATCCAAGAAAATATATGTATAAAAAAAAAAAAAGAGAAACCATCGCTAGTGTTCCAAAGAGAGAAATATTCGGGATTGGTCGACGTCCGGTGACCGTAGCGTCAGCAGCAATAATCACTCCGTTCAATCCACAGGCGTCGAGAACGAACTAACGCGAGCTACGCGATATAACAACGCGTCGTTCTGGGCCCGACGAAAACCCACGTCAGATAGTTTCGCCCGAAGATAGGATTTGTAGACCATTCTAACTGCAGATCCAGGCGCGCGATCGACTACGCCCACGATGAAGAGGAAAAGAAGTGTTCCCGCAACGCCGCCCTGACGCTCGCCCGCCGCCTGCCGCCGGTCCGCTGCTTATACGACTCCAACCGCGACCAGATGCCGACACGGGCCTCCACGCGGAGCGGCAGGGCAGCGGGTGGGCAAGCAGGGCGAGGTCGGGCGGCGACACCTTCGACACCACGCACGAGGAGGTCTACCGCGCGATCGGTGGCGAGCTCGACGGCTCGCCCCTCGACGCGCAGCGGATCACGTACTCCCGCGAGGCGTCGAGCGGTATCCTCCTCGCGAGCGCCAGGGACAGGCACCCGCGGCGACCCCCCCGCTGATGAGACTGAGCTCGCTTCTCTCCGCGGGCTGGTGGACGGCCTGAGGGAGGAGCTGCAGCGGAAGCGCGATGAGGCTGCCGGCGATCGCCAGCAGCTTCAAGCAACGATCGACGACCTGATCGCCACCCAAGCAGCAGGACCTGGCCTTCCGGGGGGGGGGTGCAACTGGTGGGCACAACCGCCCCACCATCGGCCTCTCGGGCCCCCGCTACACCCAGCGCCGAGGCGGCTAAGGCTACGGCAAAGGATAGAGCGCGGATGTGGGGGGACCTCCGCCGGGTAAAAGCGTGGCTCATCCTGGGGTGGCCTCCGGCAGTTTCAAAACTGTCGCAGATGGAGTGGCAATCCTTGCTTCGCAAAGGCGTCCTGGTGACAGAGAAAGTGGCGGCATCGCTCGACACGCTCGTGGTTACTGCTTCGCCTTCAACTCGTCGTCCGGTTGCCATGATCGTAACTGCCCACACATCCACGCCCAGAACCCTTCCCACGCTAGGCGCGGAGCGTCCGAAACTCCGGCAACCGGCGCGCGCGGCGTTGGCCACGGCAACGGGGGAGGGCGCGGAGGAGAGGCGCGCGCCGCTGGCGAGGGCGGCGCGAGACCCAAGGCCGCTGGCTTCTTCACCCACGGGAAAGACAAATAGGGGTGCGGGCTCTCCCGCGTAGCGGGGGGGCCTACCTCGGATGGCAGCGCACCTGCGGCTAAATCGAACGGCAGCACGCCGGTCTACACGAGGTTGGCTCCAGGGCTATCAGCAGGTTCAGGACCCGGGACAGGCAGGACGGGACTTTGTTACCGACGTCTTGGCATGCAGCTCGTCGAGCACTCAGTTGCGTCTTCGTCTAGAAGGACTTACACGTCAGGCTTCAACTCTTGGTGCACGTTTCGCAGGCTGACGGAGAAGCCCAAGTTCCTAGGGCAACGTGCCGGGGACCTTCATGTGTGGGAGTTGATAGACTTCGTAGCCTGGTGTTTCGAGTCTGAGGGTAATCTAGCGAGTACAATATCCGGAAAACTCACGGCTGTACAACATTTTCATAGGCTGGAAGCTTCTGTCGAGCTAGACTTGTCGTCTCCGATGTTGAAATGTGCGCTAAGGGGGATTGCGAGGAACCACGTGGCTGTGGGGACGATACGCCGTGTGCGCCTGCCTGTGTCTTGGCGTATGCTGCTGGACGGGGAAAGCGCAAGCCAGAACTGGGGGGAAGGGGGCAGAGTGATGTGGCTGTGTCTGTGCTTGTCCTATCTCTTTATCACACGGTCTGATGAGGTGTTCGCGAATGATGCGGGCAGGGTGCATGAGGCACACTGTCTTACGAGGGCGGACGTAGCATTGTTTGCTGGCGAGACGCAATTAGTCTTTAGTCACTATCGTAGAGCAGACCGTGTCGAAATGAGGTTTAGAGGGCACAAGGCCGATCAAGAGCAGAAAGGAAACATACGGGTTCGTACGCGAGACGAAGTCACCGGACCGCAGTCAGGTGTGAGAGCACGCGGCGGCGCGGTGGCTCTTGTGGTGGAGCTGTTATCGTGTCATGCGACGTTGCCTGACTCCGCACCGTTGGCTTCGTACCGTAGTGGAAGAGCAGTGAGAGTAGTGAGGTATACTGCTGCCCTCCGTGCAGTCAGAGAAGTGGTAGCGAAGTCGGGGCGTAACCCCCAGGAGTACGCGTTGCACTCGTTGCGAATTGGAGGCGCGACGGCTCTTGCATCGGGCGGAGACATCGCAGAACGAGTGATTCAGAGAGAAGGGAAGTGGAGGTCGGATGCATACAAGCCGTACGCGCGAAACAATGTAGAGGATTCGCGGCGAGTGTCACGGAAACTTACAGACGGCAGTAGGATCGTATCGAGACAGCCGGGGGAGGGGACCGTCTGGGGGAACGGATAGTTGACTTTATTCGGTGGTCGTCCAGAAACTGACCTCGATGTGGGTGTTGTAGAATGGTGTGTACCATTTGAGGACTTGTTCAGTTTTGGGACTCCTGCGTTTGCAGTGGTAGTCCCCCGGATAGTATTTGTGGGGAGAGAGATGGATTTGTAAGAGTTGACGCCGGCCTTTGCAGCTAACGCGGCCGGAGAGACGATGAGCGTTTCGTGGGTCTCTCTCCCCAACACGTAGCCTAGAAACCGAAGAAATAATGAAGCAATTCGAAAGAAAACAAAATAAAAGGAAGGTTTGTTCGTCGAAGCAGATAGAATAAACTGGTGTTTATTTTGTAACAGTCGAATTAGAATTTGGCTTCATTTTCTACCGGAAACCCAGGGTCACGGTGTTTGGAATTATTAGTCTATAGTTGGGGGTGTCATTCCGTGATCGAGTCCACGCAGGGGCTGTAGCAAAGTCGGGTAACGTGTGACAGCTACAGAGCGCGTGAAGCAACGGAAGGACAGCAGCAGCCGCCTAACGCAGTAGCGGCGGCAGTTTAGAAAATCCCGCCCTCCCATCCCTTTTCTTTCGAAGGTGGGGGCATAAGTTCGGGAATATTCGGTATCTAGTCAGGTGTTGTAGAATGGTGTGTACCATTTGAGGACTTGGTCAGTTTTGGGACTCCTGCGTTTGCAGTCGTAGTCCCCCGGCTAGTATTTGTGGGGAGAGAGATGGATTTGTAAGAGTTGACGCCGGCCTTTGCAGCTAACGCGGCCGGAGAGACGATGAGCGTTTCGTGCGTCTCTCTCCCCAACACGTAGCCTAGAAACCGAAGAAATAATGAAGCAATTCGAAAGAAAACAAAATAAAAACACACAGCCTATTTCCGGCAATACGCATGTGGTCTTGCGTCGCCCGCGGGAAGCTTGACACCCACGTCTCCAGAAGGGAGACCTTGCAAAGTCTACAATATGTAGTAGTCTATGTGCTCGATACCTCCAGACTGTTCTTACACATGAGTGTAGTAGACAAGATCAATCTGTTGCAATATCTTTTGACGTAAGATGGAGAATGAGACCTTTAGTCTAACCCGAAACCGAGAATGAGAGGAGTTTCACAAGAATTACATAGCGCTACAGCAGTACAGCACGGCAGCGGATTAGGAAACAACCGTCGATTGAACGCTGCAGGCTCGTTCACCTCCGTGGCACGCGGGTGGATGTGAGGCAGATTGATGGCGCATGGGTCGAGGTTCACAAGGGCCATCGAGATGCCTTGTCCGTCCAGAGCCGGCAGCTGGTTCACGTTGACGAAACGGATCTGGAAGCCGTCCACCAGTGCATCGGGCTCAGGACCGCCGAGGCTGAACACGAAGTCCTCGGGGTTGAACAAGGTGATTTGTTGCTGAACGCACGAAGGGGAAACACGAAGGGCAGCATCGAAATCAGGGGGGCGTTGTCGAGCCATCGACAGCACTGAGGGAGTAAAAGCATGTCGTGGCTAGTCGAGAAATAATGAGCTGGTCCATACAGCAAAATTGTAGCAACGAATCGCCGGACCAAGCTCTCGGGCTCGGGCCGATGTTTTGCACGCTGCATGCGCACTCCCGATGTGCCGGAGTCCTGCTCTACAGCAGCGCGCAGCCGAGCACCGGACCACAAACTTCGTCTGCGCTGCTCGCTACAGTAGCTACAGCCATGGTACCGCAGTAGAACATGACTGTATGTAAAGCGCCTCTCTTGTTCTTTCATGGCTTTATCTGTACCTGCGCAGTGACGACGCCGGAAGCCTGCACCGTAGACGGCATGAGCCCAGCGGCAATGACAAATCCAGCAGCAGCGCAGAAGGTCTTCATGTTAATCGCGAATGGGGAGCTGGCGAAGGGTACGTTTGACGGAGAGGAGAGGAAGAGAGAGGAGCAGACCTGAGGTGGTTTGGTGTGTGTGTGGTGTGGTTGGGCGAGGAGGTGTGAGAGGGGTGCGCGGTTTCGACGGCGCAATGTGAAAAGGCTGCCGGCATCAAAGATCTGGGTTATTTTTTTCCGAATGAATGTTCTTCTCTCTCGGCGTTCGGGACGTCGGTGCGTTGTTCATCCGCGCCTCTCGGAAAAAATTGCGGGCAATTGCCGCCGCGAAAAAGCTCACCTACACTAACCCTAACACTAACCCTTAGCTTAGCTAATCTAGGGTTACCTGGCATAGAGTGCAGAGAGGCGAGCGGAGTGGCCTAGACTATCTGTCGTTGACTTTTATTGGCTTGCGGACCCTTTGGGCCCATTTTTTTTTCGCTTTTCGTATACCTTTTTTTGGGTAAGTTTGCCTGTGACCAGGGGAATCGACCCCGTCAAGTGTTAGACAATACAGTCGTACGGACAGAAGAAGGAAAAAACTCTTACTGTAGGCAGAGAGAACGAAACGGTTTCTAATGTGAAGACAACAACAACAGCAACAACACATTTATGTACATGCTGAAACCGTGACGCCATGACTACGCGGCGCCAGCGGGGGACCAACACGCGGAAAACAGGGAGTAAATGTTTCACCGCCGTGTGTATGTTGTGTTTTTCTTCGGGGTGATTGCACAACCGACGAACCAACTACCCAACGCATTCCTTCTACACCTTCCCAGAATAAGAAAAACATACAGAGAGACGCACAGGATGGCTACCAAACTGTCTTGTCGACCCTTTTATCCACGCGGAAGATATCACTGTGTGCTGCTCGGGAAATCGTGGGGAAACAGCACTTTCGTTGACTCTATGAATTCATTGCTAACCTACATGGGTGCTCATCTCCCGCACAATTTTTTTTACTCTTTATTTTCAGCACAATTATCACTAGATAGGATTCCATACTCGGGCTCTTGCGTCGTGTTGACGTTAGCCCGAGCCGCTGGCGTCGTCAGGAAAATTACGCCCAATACCAACCGGGCACACAATTGGGGAGCTGTGGCAGGTTTGCGCTTGTGGATTCGTGTGCTGCAGCGGAAGCACGGCAGTGGGTTGTGTGGGTAGATGTTGCTCTCTCCAAGCACCAGAAAAGTCAGTCATACACACTATCGTTATGACAGTCAGGTCACTCACTTTCATAAGAGTCAGCTGACTCTTATGAAAGTGAGGTGGGTGCACATTACTAACAGTCAGTTTGGGGACTTTTATAAAAGTGAAACGACTGTCAGCTGACCCTTACGAAAGTGAGGTGATGGCGGCGGGCGGGGGAGAAGCAGCCGCCGCCGTGGCCGCGGCTGCTGCTGGGAAAGCAGCGGCTGCCATGCCTTCGGCAACGGCGGAGGGAGGGGGGGGGGCTGCGGCAGCGGGAGAGGGCCGTGCGAGGAAGCCCCCGAAAAGCAAGAAAGACCAAGACCACGCCGTCAAAGCCGCGAGAATCAAGGGCGACAAGAAGAAAATAGCCGAGATAGCAGCCACCACACGCCAGATGTCGGACGCCTCGAAGGCAGCGTGGAGGGCGTCTATGGCGGCACTCGAGAAGTAACAGAAGGCTAGGAGCGAGCGAAAAGCGATCAAGAAGCACGCCGCCAACTCTGCCGCCTCCGCTGCTATTCAGGTGCGACCCCCCTCACACTCACACGTTTTTGTGCAGCAGCCGTGTGGTTCTTGTCTGGCCGTGCTTGGATGGGTTGCGTGTTGCACGTTGTGGTTCCGCGTCAAACCTACTCGTCCTTTCCACCATTCTGTCCTCTCCCAGCATTTTTCGCAAGGTTCCTTTTTGCCCGTCCTTCCAGGCGCCGACATGTACGATGTAATACTCCGTAGGTATTATTTTTTTTCGTCGGTTGCGTCACTTCCAGCAAGCGAATGAATTCCACGAGGCACGAGAGGAGAAGAGAAGGAACTGAAGAACGTTGCAGCGGGAAGCACCGGCGCTGAGGCCACGGCGCGGGCTTCGATGGCAAGTGGGTCAGGGAGCGGGGGCGTGCCGGATCACGAGGTGGGTTCCCCGCAGTGTTTCCCCTCGGTTGTTTTGGCCGACATACACTAGGGTCAATCTTTGTGCAGCTCTCCTTCGTGCTCGTTGTGGAGCTGCATCTACTTTGGGTGTACGCGTTGATGGAAATGCTAACTACGCCCCCACACGTCATTCTCCATTCTCGCTTCCGCGAAAGATGTACCATCTTCCGCAATACTTCCACACTCCATGTGTACCATCATCATGCACGCATTATTCTGACCTACAGTACGCGACAAATGTCCCACTTTTATCGTCGGCGCTTGTCCCATTTTCATGCACGGGTGTAGAGGATCTTGAACTTTTCAAAATAGAGAAATTGCTGTTGCGAAAGGGTATCGAAGAGTAAAGTACCATGGCCTCGCAACTATATTTTGCGTATGTTCGGGCCGACATACCCCCCTGGTTCACTTGTTTGAAAAATATTTGCACGCTGTGCGCGACGCTGCTTTGTCGCAGCTTGCCGAAATTCGTTTGCTCCAGGCCCGACTCAAGGCGGCAGAGCACGCGGCCGAGATCAGTCGACTAAAGCGCGCAGTGGCCGGCGGTGGAGATGGCCTCTCTGCCAACGGCAATCACGACCACGCCGCCTTCACGGGGGAGCCGTCGGCTGGAGACGCCCAGGGTGCAAGCGGTGAGAGACTAGGTCTTCAATATAGATGGGCCGCCATCCTCGGTTCCCTAGAACACTGCGCTACGCTAATCATTACATAGTGGTTCGTTTGTTCGCCGTGTGATATGAGCAGTATCCAGATCCATCCACCGCGTTTGTTTGTTTTCTTAGGCATTGGGAAACCTCGCTTTGGGCACCGGCGTCGGTGCGGGCCCCGGCCCTGCATGTGCTCCCGCCATGTTTGGTCCACCGATTGTAACAGCCGTCCCTTTTGATGGGTTTCGTTTGTTTGGTTGCGTGGGAATGTTAGGGTCGGTAGGTGTCGAACCTTTACCTTTATATGTTTTCGTGCGGTCAGGCGCTGACTTTGCGTCGGAAGGACAGCTATAGTCATGACACTAGACGCCTTAAATCACTTGACCAGACCGCATTTCCCACTGCTTGCGATTGCCCTTCTTGTCGGCTTTGAGACCTTTATTAGTATAAATATTTAAAACAATAGACTTATGCGCCAACCCTTACCTCTATATTGTCCTCCAACTTGCATTGATTCTCCAACTTGCAGGGGCAGACGCCAATATGGAGGAGGAGTGCCGCGGCGAGGGCGGCGGCGACGACGACGACGACGACCCCCCACTGCGCAAGTTTGCCTCCAGTGTGTCCGCGTTGAGGAAAGACGGCGGCAGCAGGATGACCTACGGCAAGGTGTCGATCGAGAGCATGCGGTGCTGGAAGGAGTGCTACGACGATCTTCAAGGAACCCGCACTGCTGGTCGTGCCCAGCTCACCGCGATTATGGACGGCTCTACGTCGAGGAAGAAGGGGGCAGATGGTCAGAAGGTCACGACGAAGGTTACTGCCCCGTTGGTTCCCGGCTGCACCATGTCGACCGCCGGAAGGTGAGCAACGGGTTGGGCGAATATGTTGTTGGGATGTAACCTTGTGGTAGGTGTATCCCTGGATGTGATAAGCACTGTGTAGAGACAGTGTGCAAAGGCTCAGAGTGACTGTTACGTACACTTGTTGAACGACCAGATTGATGGTTGAAAGTGGCGCTTAGTTGGCCGAAAGGTAAGGAAAGAGGAAAGAGATAAGAGTGATCGAGTGGGGGCGAGCACCGCGGGGGGCGAGCGTCCAAGCTATCACGGAAAGATGCACACACACGGGACATTGCAATATCCCTGTCACGCTAGCAGGCGGTTAATCCGACCTCTAGGAACAACGCAAGAATATCGTAACGGACAATGGTCTCTTCCAAATGGTCCGATAATTCTCCTGAGGTGAATACCTACGTGCTGTGTCCACAGTAGTACAAATACTAATGACTGACATTGAATTACCAACATATGTAACGTACAGACAACTGCTTTGTTTCAGAGCCCCCAGTCTACTACCCTTCTCCATCAAACATTAATGAAGCCTTTTGGCAATACTCCCCCCCCCCTCGCGAACAACTGAACTGCTTTGATCAGGTGGCTCACAATCCTCTCGGCGATCAATGTTTGCCACAAGAAATCCTGCTGCACGAAGGATTCCACGATCGAGCACGCTCTACTGAAGCATCCCATCCCCAAGGCCCAGAAGCCTACCCCCCTCCCCGGCAAGTGTAAGACGGGCGGTGCCGAGAAGCGGAAGACGGGCAAGAGTTCGTTTTTTTTTTGTTTGCCCTTTAGCCTAAGCCTAGCGATATCGTCGGCATATTCGTTGTGACTTGGAGAATTATAGCGGCATGTTCGTGTTGTAGGCTGGCCTCCTCTAGACTCGGCGCCAATCAACGGCGCGGGAGGGGGGCGGAAGGAAACAGGGAGGGAACAGAGCAAACGAAAAGGGGCCGCCCGTTTCCCCCGGCATTTTGGGGATTGAAGCTGATTAGTTTTTTTTTTGTGTTATTTTTTCCCCCCCCCCCCCGTTTTTTTTTTTTTTTTTTTTTTTTTTTGGCGGTAACCATAATGGTGGTCGAGTAGATCATGTTGTGCGGGGTCGAGAAACCTCACTCCGCGCAACGGGGGATGATCGCACCATGTTGTGTTAAAATGGTCAAGCTTCCTCGAGGCAGTTACACAGTGCTTACTACTGTCTCTGGAAGTGAAAGCACCAGAAAATAAATTAAGTCATACGTAGCTGTCATCCGTACGCAAGGAAGTAAGCACAAGATGCCGAACACCCTTAGCAGGATGCAGCTCCCCCTTCATGCGCCTCGCCAAATACCTCACGGCGTTTCGCGCTTGGTGATGTGAGACCCTGGTCCGGTGAGACCCCGGCGTGTTCCGTCCCGGT